TTATATTTTCAGAAAATGAATTTGTAAAAAATAATGCGAATAAAAGATTGTGACAGAGAAAACCATTTAAAGGAGAAGACTCATGAAATATATATTCTTATCATAACCTTGTAGTACAAATGCTTTATATATTTCATTTTACTCCTTATAAAATAATTTTAATTTAATCTCATGAAATATTTTTTTATCATATAATTTTCTTTTATTTTTAGTTTTATCAAATATTAAAAAAAAAGAACAATTTAAAATGGACAAAATTTTATAAAACTAACCAAATTCACATATTAAAAGGAATAAAACAAATTAGCATAGACAAAGTCAAATTATTTTATAAGAGTTAAAATAAATTTTAGAAAAAAAAATAAAGAGGTCCTTTTTATTACGTAAAAAAATTACTATTTTTCTAGAATTCTATATTTTCTCACTTCTTACTTTGTTTAACCTTTTTTAACATTTTCAAAGAAACTCCCTCCTTCTTCCTCTTTTGGACTTATAGTAAGGAGATAGTTGAATTTAGATAAATCTTACTCCACAATATTTTTATTAAGAAAAACTTTTCTTTTATCCCCAAATCAAAGATGTTCTTTGTTTGTCTAATTTATTTAAAATTGAATTTTATACATTTGTTTTTACATTGATTTTTGAAATTAAAGTTATCTTTAAAGAGATTAATTTTATTTAAACATATATTTTTAATAAGATTCATCTGAATTTGTTTTTGAAAAAAATAATAATTTTATTTATACTAATATTTTATTATGTAGTTTTATTTAAGCTTATATTTTAAGATAATTTTTTATTTAAGCTTATATTTTAAATAAACTTATTATTTAAAAAAAAACTATAAGCATTATAGATATTCACAACTATAAAATAAGTCAATGATAAATAGTTACTATCTATATCATTACAATAGAAACTAAATAAAATGTGATAATATTTTAAAGATAAAAATGTAATAAATTATTTACTTTAAAAAATAAGAGATGGAAATAAAAAAAATGGCCGAAAAAGAGAGGAGAGAGATTGTATTATTTATTCAATTAATGAATTTTTATTTTGTATTTAATGTAAACTAATAAGTTTTAAAAATAGTTGGTAGTTCATTAATTGTTTAAAAATTATTAAATAGATGGATTAAACCCTGTCTTATAATAAATAACTTTAATGGATTGCAGATGATACATGTACATATTTTAAAATTATGTATATATTTCTTACACAAACTTCTCTACAAATTTTTTTAAAAGAAAGAAAATAATAAAAAAATAATTTTACACAAGGTAACAAGATTAATTCATGTAGAAATTAAAATTAAAAAATTAGAAAAATTATATTAGACAGCTTTTATAAATTAATTTATGCATAATTATAACCAAATTGAGCCTAAGCACTTGAGCATGCTACATGTCTAATTATGTACCCCACCAATGAGTGTTAGTATAATTAATATGTATTTTGAAATTTGAAAATGGATCAATCAACTTGAAATCTGATTATATATTTGTTTAGTAGTTAATTATATTTGAAAAGTAAGATGTATTATGTTAGTGTACAAGAGGCCTCAAAAATAATCTCATCTCAAAAAAATGTAATAATTAACATACCAAATTTTCAATTTATCTAATTAAAAAAATTATATTTAATTGAACGGTGGAAGAAGAAACATGATGCATAGAAAATGACTAAAGCACTTAAAATACCTCATTAAGACCACGACATAAAGCTAATCCTTCCATTTGGGATCAAATTGGAAATAATTTCGTTACATTAATTCCAATCTTCTTCATATTATTACCACATCGAAAAGTTTAAGCTATCAAATCAAATATATAATGATAATTGGGTCCACTTCGTAAATGAAGAACAATTCAATTGTTATACTTCTCTTTTTTTTAATTATCATGCATTAATACAAGTCTCATTCACAAATAGTTTCAATAATTTATTTTTTAATCAATTTTTTGTTCAGGATAAAATAAAATATTCAAAAATATGCACATAAAATTATATTAGAGTATCTAAAATAAAAATTGACTTAAAAATTATTATCAATACATGCTAAAACATAAGTAAAAAAATATTTACGTATACAATTTTTACCTGTTTTATTCGTAAATAATTATGTTAAAAAAAATCATGAATATTATTTTAAGTAGTTCAAATGTTCTTAATACTCTAAACATTCTATTCTAATAGAATTGAACGTTGATCACCAATTAAGTCATACCTAAAATTTTGTATTCGTGGGTATTGTAAAACTTTTTTTCATTGTTAATACATTAAATTAAACGTAATTTATAATATAAAGTTTATGATAATTATAAAAAAAAAAATATATATATATATATATATATAATAAATTCGGATCATATTATAATTAAAGATATATTTGATAAACTTCTCTGTAGATAAATAAATAAAAATCTCTATAAACTAAAACTAAATTATGTAAATTGATTTGTAAAATTTCTATCTTTCAATATCTCTAAAATCGTATTTTTAACTTATAAAATAATATGTTTTACTTTTTTTTTTAAAAAGGATTTACTAAAAATTTTATAACACAAAGTATATATTTTACTCTCTTAATCTCTTACACACTATTTTAATATAGAATTTATCATAAGAAAGAGGATATTTTGAATTATTTTTAAAATGTTACAATTAAACCTAATCAAGAGATTAATTTAATTAATACATCAGTTTCTGAAAAACTTACAATATCAAAATCCATAAGAATACAGCTTCATAAGTTTTTATTATTATTCTTATGGTGAGTGGAGCAACACACATTAAATTTACACCAAATATGAATAAATCAAACATGAAAGTAATTAATGGACAAATTGTCTATGCCCCACTATGTTAGTGCTGTTCACAATTAATGAACACATCTTTGCACGTATTTTTAGTTCAAAATTATTTTAAAAATATTTTCCGATTTCTTTTAATTTAAAATAGATAAAAATATGATTTTTTTAAGTAAACATATAAACATCTAACTAATTAGTTACCACCTTAAAACTTCCTTTACAGAGCAGAATAATTGCTTCAATATTCTAGTTGGTGTGTCAATTGTATCAACTGACATGTTTTTCCGACCATCTAAAACTTTGGTACCTTTTTATATTTTTTTAACGCTATTTGAATCATTGATCGCTCGAATTAATAATTAATATCAATTTTTATAAAAATAATTATTAAAATGTTGTGAGTAAAGATAAAATTATATAAAAGAATTTGTCCGTAAAAAAATTGAATAATAATATCTATCACTATAAATTATCAGTGTTACTTATTAATATTATTTATCTAATTTTGATGAAAATATAATAAAGTATTTAACTTTCTGTATGATGTATTATTTATTTTAAAATTATATAGTCTTTTTATTAAAAAATATATTAACACGTTAGGAGATGAAACTGTATATAAATTAATATTAATTTTGATTCTACGACTCGTAATTTTCTTTAAATTTCAGACTTTTTATATTTTACTTAATTAATTTTTTTTTAAAAACTCGTCCAATAATTTTCTTTAAATAGTTCGAATCAACCATAAAAAACATTTTTTTTAATTTCTCATTAGACTACTTTAGAACACATTCAATGTCAGGATATAAGACCTTCTCAGTCCCACCACATCATTTTTTAAGTATCTTGTTAAAAGCTATGTTCCAATAGTGTGGTAATATAAGATTTAAATTTTTATAATTTTTTATTTGCACTTAAAATTATTTACAACTTAACAAATTAATTTTATTATATAATTATTTATTTTTTGTTCTATTTTCTTACAACTTATACGTGTCTTTAATTTACGACTCTCGTATTATGATAAATCAGCATGTTTCAATGCGATTTCTTAAAAAACCTATCTCTTGAATTTAATTCACTAGATACGATGTTAGTGTAAACACATTCAGTTCGAAAACAAATTTAGTTCAATAATAATAATAAAAAAAAAGAGTCAAAATCATGTCTAAAATAGAAAACAATATTTGTTTTAAAAGGAATAATTGATCTAAATTTAAAAAATAATTCAATAAAAAGTTTTGTTTTTTTTTTATCGTGCAGAAGGGAACAGGAAAAGGTCAACCGTGTGTCTCGTTCGTTCACAGCAAGTTTGATAAAAATAAAAAAACCAAATTTTTGTTTTGATTCGATGGCCTGCAATACAGCAGGTTCTTTGAGTTATGCGTAATTTTCGCTTCTTTTATCATCTTATTAAACCCCTTTTTTTATTATTTTTTATTTTTCTCTTCCAATCAACTTTTTTTCTTTTTTCCTCTTTTTCTTCTTCATCTTCTTTCTCATATTTTTCTCCTTTCAAGGCAATTTTTCTTTGCTTTTGTGCCCACAAATTCACTCTTCCATGAACTTTCTTTCATCAAGGTACGTTATCTAAACGTGATCCCTTATCTGCTTTTGCTTTTGTAAATTTACGCCTCTTTTTTGTGTTACATCTTTCAATTTTTATGAGTTTGATTTGTATTAAGTTTTGGAATCGCTTTCTCTACAACCTTTAGAAGAAGTGGAAGTACTTATCATTGTGTCGCATATGCTTTTCTCCTTCTATTCATCTTTGCATCACAAAAGGGACACTAGTTTTTGGTTTTTCAAAGAGTTTTTGGGTGATGATCACAATCATTTGTCTACTACTTTACCTCATTTTAATGCTTCTTTTTTGTTCTATGTTTTCTTTAGGTATTCACCTTTTTTCCTTACACGTCATTCAAACAAAATTCTCATGAATTTGGATGTTTTCTTAAAATTTAATGGGACTTTATGCTAATGATGCCCTTTTTCACTTTTTTTGCTCTACCAAATAATTAAATATTCAATTTTTTTCGCTTATCTTTTCTCGATTTATTTCTTCTATTTCCATTTTTCCTATTTCTGTTTTCATACCCTAACAGTTACTAAACCTTCTTGCTTTCATTTTTGAGATTGTAGGTTCATTCAAGAATTTCTTGGGTGAGAAGATATATATACATGGCAACAAAAGCAAAAGAAAATTCAGTTGTTGGAAAGGAGAAGAAGGTCACATCTTCAAATTCTCACATCACAACCACCAAAAGGACCACCAAACCCTCCACAGCAACAACTACAACCTCCACAACAACAACAACTAGCTCCATTAAGAAGCCTAACTCAACCTCTTTAGCAGAGAAAAACACCCCCAACTATCTCAAGCCCACTTTAACTTCACGCCATGAAGTGCCCTCTTCCAAACAACCCAAAACTAACTCTCCCAACAACAAGCCTTCTGAAATCAGAAGAAGATCTATGGACAAACCACGTACCTCTTCAAACTTGACAAGAACTGCCTCACGTAGGTCTTCCATTGGCCCACTTGCTAAAACTACTATCCCTTCCAAACCCATTTCAGATAGGACCTCAAAGGCCCCTAGTGATGGAAAAACTAGGCCACCACTTCTCACAAAGGTTCCAAAGAAAACCACCCCTACTACTTCCACTGCTACCTCTACAAGCACCAGGAAGGTAGTAGCCAATAGGGATCATGGTTCTGTTAAGTCAACAAAGTGCATTCTTAGGAAAACTGCAAAACCTGTAAGTGTTGAAACTGAGCAAGTTATTAAGGAAGTTACAAGCCAAGAAAGTGAAGTGATAAAGGTGGAGAACGAAGCACGCAAAGTACATGAGGTTGAACATGTGGTTGATATCTCACCTGATGTTGAATCCGCACATGAGATTGAAAATGTTCACGGCCTTCAGAACTCTGGTCCATCTCATTATCTAGTTGATGATGATGAGAGGGTAATTTCTACAGTGCCGGAAGCAGAAAAAGAGTCACTTGAAGAGAAAGCAAAAGATGCGGAACATGAAGTAGAGGAAGATAAAGAAAACCAGGATGAAGGAGGCAATAAGGAAAATGAGAGTGAAGGTGAAGTTGTTGTTAGTGATGCAGGTAAAAGTGAAAGTGAAGGTGAAGGTGAAGGTGAAGGTGAAAGTAGGATTATTGTAATGGAAGATCATAGAAGTGAGAACAACAACAACAATGAAGGAGAGGCAGTGGAGGAAGGAAAAGTAGTTGAAAAGGTAGAAGAGGCCAAGGGTGAGGCAACACCATCAAAGCAATCATTAGAAGAAAGGAAAAATGGGAAAAAGGAGGCTCAGATATTCAATGATGTGATTGAAGAAACTACAAGCAAGCTTATGGAGGCAAGGAAGAACAAAGTGAGGGCTATGGCTGGGGCATTTCAAACTGTAATTGATCATCAAGCCACATCAATATGAAGCAAGTAATAATTACATGTATTCCATGTGAGAAACTTCTTTGTTAACAAACTAAATGCATCTAAAGGAACAACAAAAGATGTAGAAAAAGAAACCAAAATCAGTTCAGGAGAGGTAAAAGAGGTTATATATTCTGATATGTAGATGTCTTTCTCATGCAAAAGTTGAATGGAAGTATTGCCTTCAAACTTTGTGTTAAGTTTTATGATAGTTGATTTCTTAAGTGGATTTCATGTTCATTAACATCTGTAATTAATATCTTTGTTAAATGCATATATTATTATGCTTCGGTCAATTTTCCTTTTCTTTTTTGTCTCTGTAGGAACTGAAAGCTTGTGTTTCTTTGATTCAGGAAATTTGGAAATTGTGGCAGATATTGGTGGTTATGAACATGTTTTTGCATTAAATTTCTATGTAAGATTATGTATTTTAGAAATACAGTAACTGTTAAAGGAAATAATAGAGGAAGGAACTTTACACTTGAACGTTATAAATAACAAGAACAATGATAAACTCACAACCAGTTGAAAAAATAACTCCTAAACAGTGATGTAATATCAATATAATAATAATAATAATAATAATAATAGTATATAATAAGTAATTTCAGATTAAAAATTAAAGGAAATGATTATATAGTTTGGCTATTAATTGTTTAAAAAGTAGGTTGTCAATTATTCTTTATTTATATAATAAACTCGCATGGTTTTATTGGTTAAAGATTCTTGTATAGAAAAACAAAATTGCATTTAGACACTTTTTAAAACAAATTATAAACAACGATATGTAAAATAAATGTAAAAATATTTTTTTAAAATATAATTAACGAGACACCATATAACCTATGTTTTTTTTTTTCTTTTACTTAGTAATTAAGATTAAATACATGGATTTCATTATTTTCAATTTGTTTTTATTGCATATATGATAGATTTAATATAGTCTTGTTGCAATTCTTCCCTTAATTGATGAAACATTTCTCATGAAAGTTATGTCTCTTTGTGAAAAGTTACGTATCTCTTCATAAAGAGTCACGTCTTCATGAATGAAAGATTTTTCCATCCAATAGGGAGAGTATATCGTTCCATTATTCAATCTAGTTAAGAATCAGCTTTCAAGGAAGAAGAAAACAGAAGATAATCATTGAAAATGAGATTCTCTTGAGAAAGAGAGACTTAGATAACCCATGAATTTCTTGTAGTCTTTTCCTTGTTCACATTGTGAATTTGTGATGATTTTTCACATTAAAATTGTTGGTATTATTCTTCTTCTTCACTCTTATGTTTGCTTCCATAGTGCTTAGTTTAAGTTCATAGGATGAATTTTGTTTTGTTAATTTCAAATAGTGCTACCAAAGCTCGCATATATAGTTAGGAGAAAACTTAGGTTGTGTGTTAGTAGTGGCTTTGGGACTTTATGGTTGTTAGGGAATTAATAGAGGATTAGTATTTTGTTATGTCTTATAACAGAATAATTGTTTGTAATGCCTTTATAAGGTTTGTAATAATTCAATGAGAGATAACTTTTACTCCCACAATTGTCTTTTTGTATTAATCATTCTTTGGTGGGTTCAATAGAGTTTTGCAGAAATCTATTTTTTATAACAGATTGGTATCAAGAGCAAGGTCGGATATTCTGGGAGGTTAAGATGAGTTCTGCGAAATTTGATATTGAGAAATTCACGGGCAAGAATGATTTCACCCTTTGGAGGATAAAGATGAGAGCTCTTCTAGTTCAACAAGGAATTGAAGAAGCGCTGCTTGGTGAAGGAAAAATGACAGCCACATTATCTGATAAGGAGAAGAAGGAAATGCTTAATAAGGCCCATAGTGCCTTGATTCTCTCTTTGGGTGACAAGGTTCTAAGAGAAGTCTCGAAAGAGAAGACGGCTGCTGCGATTTGGCTCAAATTGGAAAACCTGTACATGACCAACTCTTTGGCAAATAGGCTGTATTTGAAGCAAAAATTGTATACATTCAAGATGCAAGCAGGAAAAGGGTTGGAAGATCATTTAGATGACTTCAATAAGATCGTTCTTGATCTTGATAATATTGAAATCAAGATTGATGATGAAGACCAAGCCTTGTTGTTACTGAGATCGTTACCTAGTGAGTTTGATACTCTTGCAGACACGCTCATTTATGGCAGAGACACGTTGTCATTGGAGGAGGTCCAATCTGCCTTATTCTCAAAGGAACTGAAGAGGAAGTCTGAGGTTGGAAGAGATCAAGATGCTGAAAGTTTGTATACAAGAGGCAGGTCAGAAAAGAAAGATTTTAGAACCAAGAAGGATCCAAGATCAAAGTCAAAAGAGGGAAAGAAGAGAAAGTGTTTCATCTGTGGGAGTGAGGAGCACTTGAAGAAAGAGTGCCCAGAAAACAAGAAGAAAAAGAAGCACGGAGATCAAAAGGGTAATTGTGGTGATGCTGATATAGTTTCAGAGGGATACGAAAGTGCTGAAGTCATGTGCATTACAGAAGAAAAGGGCAAATCAGAGTGGGTTCTTGATTCAGGATGCACATTCCATATGTGTCCTAACAAGGACTGGTTCATTTCCTATGATGACAACCATGAAGGAAGGGTTTTGTTGGGCAATAACAAGGCCTGCAAGGTGATCGGAATTGGTGCCATTAAACTGAAACTTGCTGATGGAGCCATAAGGATCTTGAAAGGAGTAAGGCATGTACCGGAACTAAAGAGGAATCTGATTTCTCTTGGCATGCTTGATACACAAGGATATGTCTGCAAGGTTGAAGGTGGAGTTCTGAAGATCACAAAAGGTTCTATGGTGCTGATGAAGGGAAAGTTAGATCATGGTTTGTATTTTCTTCAAGGAAGTACCCTGGTTGGAACTGCTGCCACTGCAGTTTCTGAGGAAGTTCAGTCTCAAGCAAGTCTTTGGCATAAAAGGCTTGGTCATATCAGTGAAGGGGGATTGAAGGAGTTAACCAAGCAGAGACTGTTGGGCAAAGACAACATTGATGCATTAGAATTCTGTGAACATTGCATTTTTGGGAAGGCAAAGAGATTAAAATTTTCCACTGCTGTTCATCATACAAAAGGTACTCTTGACTACATTCACAGTGATTTGTGGGGGCCATCAAGTGCTCCTTCTCACAAAGGAGCAAGATATTTTCTATCCATCATTGATGATTTTTCAAGAAAGGTATGGGTTTACATTTTGAAGAACAAGAGTGAATCTTTTGAAAAATTTAAAGAATGGAAAGTGTTAGTTGAAACTCAAACCGGTAGAAAGATCAAAAGGTTTAGAACTGATAATGGCTTGGAGTTTTGTTCTGGAGAATTTGATAAATATTGTAAAGGGAATGGTATTGTTAGGCATAAGACAGTTAGAGGAACCCCTCAACAAAATGGGCTTGCTGAAAGAATGAACAGGACAGTCATGGAGAGGGTTAGGTGCTTACTGTCTAATGCAAATTGTTCTGCACAATTCTGGGCTGAAGCTGTGATGACAGTAGCTTATTTGATAAATAGATGTCCATCTACTGCTATTGGCATGAAGACACCAGAGGAAATGTGGTCTGGTCATTCTCCAAACCTTGAAAACTTGAGAGTATTTGGGTGTGTGGCGTATGCTCATATCAGCCAAGGCAAGTTGGATCCAAGGGCTCTGAAATGCATGTTTCTGGGATACCCTCAAGGTGTTAAAGGGTACAGATTGTGGTGCATGGAGAAGGGGCAGCCAAGGGTATTAATTAGCAGAGATGTTGTGTTCAGAGAATCTGAAATGTATCACTCTGAGAAGGTTTCAAGTCAGGAACAGCAGAAGGGTGATGAGAAAATTCAGCTGGAAATGGATACATTAAAGGGGCAATCTTCTGTTGACTTTCAGCAATGTTATTCAGAATTTAATCAAGAAAGTAACACAGAAGCTGAGACAAACACTAAAGTGCAGAATAATGATGATCTACAAGAGTATCAACTAGCCAGGGATAGAGAAAGAAGAGAAATCAGACCTCCAGTTAGGTTTGGACATGCAGATATGGTTGCTTTTGCACTCACCGCAGCAGAGGAAGTTGAAGGAGATGAGCCTAAGAGTTATAGTGATGCTGTGAATGGTAAGCAATCTCAAGAGTGGATTGCTGCCATAAATGAAGAATTAAGCTCTTTACATAAGAATGGCACTTGGATGCTGGTAGACAAGCCAAAAGGGAAGAAACTTGTCAGTTGCAAGTGGATTTTTAAGCTGAAAGAAGGGATTCCAGGAGTGGATAAGGCTAGATTCAAAGCAAGATTAGTGGCCAAAGAGTTTACACAAAGAGAAGGCATTGATTACAATGAGGTCTTCTCTCCGGTGGTAAAACACTCTTCAATCAGAATTGTCCTAGCCTTGGTAGCACAAGAAGACATGGAATTGGAACAACTTGATGTGAGAACAACTTTCTTACATGGAGAGCTTGAGGAGCAGATTCACATGACTCAGCCCGAAGGTTTCATCAAGAAAGGTGAAGAAGATAAAGTTTGCTTGTTGAAAAGATCCCTCTATGGTCTTAAGCAATCTCCTCGGCAATGGTACAAAAGGTTTGATACATTCATTATGAAGAATGGTTTTAAAAGGTGTGAGTATGATGGTTGTGTCTACTTGAAGAACACTGAGATTGGAGCTATCATCTACCTTCTTCTCTATGTAGATGACATGCTCATTGCTTGTAAAAGCAAGGTTGAAATTGAGAAGGTGAAGTTGATGCTTGAGAGTGAGTTCGAAATGAAGAATATGGGGGCTGCTAGTAAGATTCTGGGTATGCAAATTATGAGGGATAGATCCAAGGGAACCTTATTCATTAACCAGAAGGGCTACATAGCTAAAGTTTTGAAGAAGTTCAATATGGATCAATCTAAAGCAGTGATGACTCCTATGGCGCAACATTTCAAACTTTCTCAACAGGATTCACCCAAGACAGAGGAAGAAAAATCCTATATGAAGAAGGTTCCATATGCAAATGCAGTAGGCAGTGTCATGTATGCTATGATTTGTACTAGGCCAGATTTGGCTTATGCCATGAGCTTGGTAAGTAGATACATGGGGAAGCCAGGAAAACAGCACTGGGAGGCTATGAAATGGATCTTCAGATATTTGAAAGGAACATCTAAAGTTGGTTTACTGTATTCAAGGCATGACGACAGTGTTGTTAATGTTACTGATTTTGTTGATTCAGATTATGCTGGCTGTTTGGATTCCAGAAGGTCTTTGACAGGTTATGTTTTCACATTCTGTGGTAACACTGTTAGTTGGAAGTGCAATCTGCAAAATGTAGTCTCTCTATCCACCACTGAAGCAGAATTTATTGCTGTTACTGAAGCAATAAAAGAAGCAATCTGGATGAAGGGAATGACAGCATGTTTGAAGGCAGAAAGAGCAGTTCCCAAGGTGTTTTGTGATAGTCAAAGTGGGATGTTATGTCTTATAACAAAATAACTGTTTGTAATGCCTTTATAAGGTTTGTAATAATTCAATGAGAGATAACTTTTACTCCCACAATTGTCTTTTTGTATTAATCATTCTTTGGTGGGTTCAATAGAGTTTTGCAGAAATCTATTTTTTATAACATTGTGTAATTAAAGTTGGAGGGAACTATCAATTTATGTTCAAACTTACTGCATACAATTATTCCTTTTGCAAGTTGATGATGGAAGGTCATATATCGTACAAGAATTTGTATGAGTCAATTACAAATGAGAACAAAGTGGTGGAAAAGATTGATGATAAAGATTGAGAACTTCTAAATCACAAAGTAGTTGCTATGATTTGAAAATGTTTGTGAGAATTTACCAGCTTATACCAATGTGTATCAGTTATATGATTCAAAAGAAGAATGTTTGGAACAAAGTTCATCTTGTCAAAAGGTGAGAATAAGATGGAGTCCTTGAACACCTTCAAATGATTTGTGAAAGAATTGATGAAGGTAGAGATAAAAATTAAGGATGATTTTAAAACTTGTCTACACCTTGGTTCTCTTTTAGAGAGATGATGAGATACTTGGTTACCAGACTCTTGAATTCTGTCCTAGATGGAAAACTTACATAGATGCTGTTGAAAATTGTTTGCTCAAAGAGAAAATGCTCAAAATAGCTATTCTATAGCAAACATTGATGAAAATAGAGGGAAGAGTGAGCAAAGAGGAGAAGGAGGAAGATCCTAGTTTAAGTCTTTTTATGGTAGCAAAGATGGTCAAAAAAATCTGAGTGCTTTTTCATGAAGAGAGATCATAAAGCTAGAAGAACAATTTATCATGATCAAATACAACCTAAGGAGGAAGTAAGACATGTACCTAATATGTGTTTAATCTTATCTCAATAGGGAAGCAGATAAAGCTGGATAAACTAGTTTTTTTTTTTTTTTTTTTTTAACAGGTCTTTTGAAACCATTTTTCAATCATTTTAAAAATCGAATACTGTAAAGTGAATCTAATCATAACTTATAAAATGTAATTTTATTCATAAATTTTCATGTATTATTGTAAAGAATAGCATAAAAAAGGAGCGTATGTGTTGAGGGTTGTCATAACAACGGGATTGGTCCGGTCTATTCTTAAAGAATTAATAATCCAATTTCACCTATATTTTAAAACTAACCATAACCTTTTATCTAATTTTTAAATCAACGGACTAATAATTTTTTTTTAACATGATTATAAATTAAAAAAATATATTAATATATCTATTTCAAAATAATTATTTTAAAAAATAAATAAATAATATATTTTATAAATTTAAATTATATTAATAATATCTCTTTTTATTTTAAATATAATAATTTAATTTATAAATTATAAAATAAGACATTAAATATTAAAATAAATATTAAAAATTTAATATATATTATTATTTTTTATTTATTTAATAATCTAATTACTTAAAATAATAATTTATCTTAATTATTAAATTTTAAGATAAGTAAATATTAAAAAGTTATGTTTATAGTTATGTTTAAAATAAACGAATCTCTTATTAAATTATTTATAATATATATATATATATATATATATATATATATATATATTAATAAAATAATTATATTTTAAATTTTATATTTAAAATATAATTATTATTTTATAAAATAAATTAATTCACAAATCTATTAACTAGCATGACCTCACTTAGGTTATAATTTAAACAAATCATATCAAATAAGTCTAATTTTTTAGCTTAATTTAATTTATTCTTTTAAATATTTAAGATTTATCCATCCATTAAATCTATTTAAACAATTTTATTATTTAAATGTTTTTATTTTATTAATGAGATTTAATAAAAAAGGAAAAAAATTAAATCTATTTAAACAATTGTATTATTTGAATGTCTTTAGTTTATTAATGAGATTTAATAAAAAGGAAAAAAAAAAAACAGGATAGAGTTTGAACTTGTGAAAGATGGAGAAAAGGAGGAATAAAAATATGATATGAAGTTTTTAAAGTTCAACACAAATTATGGGATTAAATCTGGTGACTGTCAGTTTGTGAAAAGAATAGTAGTTATTTTATAATTGTTTATATTTTGTACTTTTATTTTATATATATATATATATATATATATATATATATATATATATATATAATTTAAGGACAAAGACGTTAAAAAATAAATATGTTGACGAAAGGTGAATATAATCATTTTTATATACTTGTATATATGTTTATAAAAAGAAAAAAAAAGTAAAGATTTTACCAACGGAAATAGAATTTATAAATTTGGGGGTGTAAAATTTTGTGGAAAAACTACATATTACTATTATATCACGTCGAATCGTTTGGAGAATGTTTTCGCTTTTATTAAATTTTTTCTTGTTCAAATTCAAATTTATATTCTAAAAAAATGGTAAAAAAGAAGAGTTTTTGTAATGATGAGCTAACCCAACTCATCATGAATTCGAGTTAGATTTGATTTTGTTTATTTTTATCGATAATGAGTTAAAAATAAACCTAACTTACTTAATTCACACCGACTCAAACCGGGTTACAATGAGTTAACCCACAACCTACCCTTCATTTAAAATTTTAAAAATAATTATAATAATTTAACAATCTTCGTTAATGTTATTTTTATCTCTTTACCTTTATTCCATGTCATCACAAGTTAAACTTTTACTTAAACTTATCATCAATTATTCACCAAACTTATCATCAATTGTTCATCACATTGTTCATCACATGATTACCTTCATTGTTACACTTAGACCATTTATCATTCTTTCGTCACATCACTATATCACCATATTCGTTGTGTTTATCGTACTAATACGTTTCCATTGTGTTACATTTCAATTGTGTCATAACATTTATTACACCAACACAACAATATTTCAGTCTTACATTTCAATTGTTCCACAACATTTGTCAGACCACCCATATTTCAATTGTACCATAACATTTTCCGCATTTCAATTACATTACAACGTTGATTATGTTACATCATCATTGTATTTCAGAATCATGAATTAGTCACATTTATTATAAAAAAAAAAACAAAAAAATAAATACAGGTTAATAAGTCACCATACATCCCATGTTAAGTCAGATTGTGAAATATCTGATTGGCGTCAGATTGTCATAAAATGAACCAGATTAAACTTACTTATTTTTAACTAAACTCCTAATAAACCCGATTAATTCACTTTACGCCCCTAACAAAAAAAAATCAATTAAAACAGCAACTGAACGAAATAATTTATTTTAAAATAAATCATGCGAATTTTAAATTCTAGAGTCTGGTCCAATATATATAGCTCAATTTCTCGAGAGGGAACATTTTTCTCTTAGTTGGGTATTCTGAAACGCTGATGTAATTGTTAATTGTACTAAAAAAAAAAACTTATTTTGAACACCGTAAACTGTGCATAAAAAAACACCCAAATCGACACTCTTGTAAAAAGCTAAGCATGTTATAGTTACCTTTGGTACAGGTCTGTCAATTTTACTGGAGATAGCGGTGTGATAAACCTACTTAACTGTTCTGGTGTAAAAACTCCAACTGCTCTAGAGCTATACGGTGGAGTGGCATACGAGTTTGTGTAATTTACAATGATAACCATTGGGTATCGCTTCTCTAAAATTAAATCAACTACATGACGAAAAGATGTTGAACTCGTAACGCTGGGAGGAGGGCTTCTCATCATTGTTGAAACTGCAGCATCCAACTGCACCGTAAAATCATCCAATAATCAATATAACCAGAGACAAACTCAAATGTAATGAACAAGTATCATTCAATTTGTGATGTCGATGTACATGTCTGTACAACAGAACCACACAAAAAAGGGAGACCAAAATGTAAAATGATTCGAGTTATGTAGTCAAGAGTGAGTTTTGAATTTTGGGTAACAATATAATAATTACCGTGACATACACAGCAATAATTATTCTTTTCTTTTGTTTGTCTTGATCTCTACATGTTTATGTTTTTCTGTTAATTTCACTTCACTAATTCTTATTTCATTGCTACTATATTCTCGTTGCTACTAAATTGATTAATTCGATTAATTCTACGTTTCTGTTTTGTTTTGGAGTATTATGTGTAGTATATGCTATATAGTTTGCCTTATAATATTTAAAATAAGAGTTTGGATTCCCTCTAACTCCACAACCATCATATTGCTCCATGCGAAATTCTTTATCTAGGTTTCCGTGTAGAACGGTTGTATTGGCATCAGTTGATCAGCTTCTAAGTCTAACCATGTGTCTAAACCAATGACAACTCAGCTGTTACTATTTCCTAGACAAATAGATGTATAGATTCAAAGATTTTTATTTTAGATTTCATTGAGTTGTCATTCTGTTGGCACCATTTCTGTTATTCCATCCCATGTTTTGAAGAGAGCAAATAGTGGTATTAGAGTCTCGAATATAAAATAATAGAATAAAAGGCAGAGAAGCATTTCATAAATTTGATCTTTCTTTGAAGAGGTTCTTTGTCCTCGAATTCAAGGGATTTACCAGTGTTCCTATCATAATCCTTACCATTACTGCTTTGGTCGGTTAACCCTAGACCTAGCCGCTAGCTTTGTCCAATCAATTCGGTGCTGTCATTCCAACCACTATGCATCCCTAAAACACTTCCTTAGTTCCTTCCGGAACGAACTCTTCAAGTTATAAGGCATCAAACTACAACTTAGCACCACGTACCATCCTGAGAAGGATGGTCAAACCAAGGTAGTAACAGAGGTTTGGCAACTTATGAGTTTCAAGCCCACACTCTGACTATTCTGCAGGGTCCACCGACCACACAAGCCTCGACGCTTCTCTCAACCTCCGCCAGCACATCATCCATGCCAGAGCAACGTCAGCTTCGCACAAGTGGATTATGTGTGACTCTGTCTTCTTTCCTATTAATGTCAACCATCGCATCACACCTCCCAAAAGTTGGTGAAACGATATTACAAGCATTTTAGAATACTCAAACGAGTGGGTCATGTAGTTTACAACTTCCCTTCAGTTCCCAAAGCCACCAGGTGGTCCACATCGCCACCCTCCGTCGTTATCGCGAACCACACCCACCTCACAGATACAAAGCAGTTCCCCCCACCACAACGTAAATGACCCTATCTCCCTCCCACACATACCAAATACTTTCTCAATCTGACACCCAAACCCCACTCCCAACGACATCATTAACCACTTTAACACCCTTTCCCTCGCCCCAAGACCAACGCACTCCTAAACCCCGAGCGTATTTGCTATCCATGCATCCACCAATATGTCTTCCACCGTTCGATGTGCCAAATGTTTCCAACAAGTCATTTGAAATCTCCACCAAAAGCGCAATCTGAAACATATCATAAGCCCGACTAAGATTGCCATGCTAGCGCCAACCTTGAGGACAAGGTTCCATCTCAAAAATGAGGCAATGTTGGACCAACAATCCAATCCTTCACGAGCCCCAAACGTGTGATCTTAAAACCTTACTGGGCTCATGTAAATGAAACAGTTGTTTGTGTAGGTTCTTTTCCATGCTTCCCTAAATGGACCAGCTACAAAGCCCAAACGTTAGTGGATGCCATCTATACAATGTAGTATCTCTGAATGAATGAAAGAAGAAAAACACATGCCCATCAAATTATCCTTTCCATTACTACTTTGTGGAGTCACCCTTGACCTAGGTATAGTCACTAGTTTCATCTGATCATTGTGCAACAAAAGTTTCCTCTTAAATTTTCACGCATGCAACCTAATCCTTCCAATTCACATTAACCCAAAGAATTAAGTAATATTGTCAAAGTACCCCCCCAAATCATGGGAAAAGGCCAATAAAAACTATGTCCTTCAATATACAATGATAGTACTTCAGTGATACGTGCAATTTTTAGGAGCATAATCAACGGCCCCAGACAAAAGGTTGACAGCCTTTACACAAATTGATTAACTTGTCTCCATTTAAAATGACTTGAGTAATAAGTTCATTTCAAATAAAGGTTGTAAAATTTTGCACGTACGTCATAATATAACTCAATTAAATGAAATAGCAATCTCACTAATAAGATATTCCAAGCTAACCAAAGATACCTGGTTGCAGTCTTCACGGTGTAATAGCCCTATACAACTACCCCACTCATCCGCAATAGGAACAACTGCTTCGTCAAAGAAACGCTTAACCACCTTCCTCAGCTTTATGGTACCTTGTATTGGGCGTGTTGCTTCAAATCGTATCATATAATTCTCAATCGGTTCAGAAGGTGAAACCTAAACCGTGAGGGTCCATAATTAGACAGAATACAAATTCTTTGTGCATAAATAACCAAAAATAAAATGCAATGTAGATCAAACAGTCAAGCCAAAGACATGATGACAAACATACGATGTTATGAACATACATCCGCAGATATAAATGCATAAAAACCATCATATGATGTCAATGCAACATATGGTAAGTACCTCAGGAAGTAAGTGAGGACTGAATAAAGACTTTGAGAATCCCAACATGGCCTCAATACGATTAGCTACCTATATTACAAAAGCATGGCCATATGGTTAAGAAACTGAACTACTAAGAGCATTAAAATTGAAGAAAAAAAAAATCATGCAAATGAACATCCTCCTATTTAGAAAAATTATCTTCCTAACAACATTTGACAATTGTATTACATGTGATCCATAGTAATATTAGACAGATTACAAAAGCTTGCAATGAGCTACTGCTTTGCTGAAGGAAATTTAGTTGCATTCTAAAAAGGACATCAATGTTCCAATTGAAGATTTAGTCCAGAAATATACTACAATCAGAAAACACTATAAATACAAAACAAGGTTAAGATTAACATCTAATGATGGGATCTACTCAAAAAGGCATTTATTGTAGACTACTACATTACATACCATGCCCCCACGACTTGTCCAAGATATGCCCTTCCATCTTGAAATTATCTCAGTAAGAGATTTAATGGCAACAATAATCTGGCAAAGAAACACGGATGCAGATAACATAACAAGGCTAAGAATTATTAACTTCCCAAAGCAAATCAAAATATTGAAAATTAAACAACAGGAAAGTAAGTGAAAGAAAAGTGAAGTAACAAATGAAGACTAATGTTAGAAACCAACTTCAACAGTATGTAATCAAATGTTCAAATCATTATACCACTTGAGAAAACTTATATTTAGGGTTTGATACAGTGATCAAAGGCACTGTTACATTGTATTTATAGAAAAGGAGATACAATAGAGATGATATGAACCTCAACCCAAACCTTTAACCCTAATCTAAGAAACATACAAAAAGATAGATGAACAACAGATCTCAACACTCCCCCTCAAGCTGGAGCATATAGATTGTATGCACCAAACTTGGAACAAATGAATTGAATCATAGGTCCTCACAAGGATTTAGTTAAAATATCCTCCAGTTGCTCATTGGAGCTTACAAATTCAGTTTCAAGTTCCTTAGACAACAACTTCTCTCTAACAAAATGACAATCAATTTCAAGATGTTTTGTTTGTTCATGAAAGACTAGATTGGAGACAATATGGAGAGCTTTCTGATTATCACAAAACAACTTCATCTACCCATTATCACAAAATTTTAAAATTTTAAATCTTAAAGGAGTTGTTTGATCCACAAGTTCACATGTAGCAAGTATCATAGATCTATACCTAACTTCTGTACTAGATCGAACAACAACACTTTGTTTTTTACTCTTCCAACAAATCAAATTTCCTCCAATAAAGATACAATACTCAGTAGTAGATCTTCTATTAATGGGACAATCAACTTTTGTATCACAATAACCTAGAATTTGAGTATTACCTTTATCTTCATATAACAATCTTTGTCCTAGGACCCCTTTAACATATCTTAGAATACGAATCAAGGCATCCCAGTGATCAACACAAGAATTTTGCATGAATTGACTAACTACTTTAACTGCATAAGAAAGATTCAATATGGTAATAGTAAGATAAATGAGTTTATCAACCAATCTCCTATATCTTTCTAGATCTGACAACTTTTCTCATTTATCCTTCATTCATTTTTGGTTAGGGTCCATTGGGGTATTTGTTAGACTAGTCTTCTTTAGAATATCAAGACAAGAGCGTACTTCCTTTGAGAAATGATCACATCTTCCTTTGACTAGGTCACTTCAACACCAAAAAAATACTTCAATTGACCAAGATCTTTAGTTTGGAAATAAGCACACAAATGATTCTTCAGTTGGTTGATCTTAGTATAATCATTGCTTTTAATACTTGTTAAGGTTCCAACATAAAACCAATTGGCAATATGTGGAGTAGCCTAACATGTATTTAAACCATACCAAATGATATGAGGTAGGCAATGTGGGACTTTCAACACACCCCCTCCAACGAAGCCTGCCGGACCAGGCAAAGGGTACTTTTGACCCAACTAAAGGGCAACTTTTGGCCCATGACAATAACCGGAAAGATGTTAGGCTTTGGCTCTGATACCATATTAAGGTTCTAACATAAAACCAATTGGCAATATGTGGAGTAGCCTAACATGTATTTAAACCATACCAAATGATATGAGGTAGGCAATGTGGGACTTTCAACAATACTAATTGTTGAATATAGGAAAAAAACTGTATAGGGTTAATTTCCCTTGTTTATTTACCACACATAGGGCAGTGTATTTATAATAAAGAAAGGTACTCCTCAAAAGAGTAACAGAATACAAATAGGGTAAATAAAAGATATTATTTGATATTGTGATTAACAATATCTAACAATATCTCAACAATATCAAACAATATCAACTAATATCTAATCATATCTAACACTCCCCCTCAAGCTGGAGCATACAAATCGTATGTGCCTAGCTTGGTACAAAGATAATCCATCCTAGGTCCCCGTAAAGACTTAGTGAAAATATCTGCTAATTGATCACATGAGTTGACGAACTCGAGTCTTGATGTCTCCAGACATAATCTTTTCCGAATAAAATGGCGGTCAATCTCAATGTGTTTAGTCCTCTCATGAAAGACGGGATTAGAGCTTATATGGAGAGCAGCCTGATTGTCACACACTAGTGTCATTTGAGTGACATCTCCAAATTGTAGCTCTTTAAGCAATTGCTTGAGCCAAATAAGTTCACAGGTAGCTGAGGCCATAGCTCTATACTCTGCTTATGCACTGGATCTTGCCACAACACTTTGTTTCTTACTTTTCCATGAGATCAAGTTACCACCAATGGAAACACAATACCCGAGATGTAGATCTTCTATCGAGGGAGATCCTGCTCAATCGACATTCGAATAGCAGACAACTCTTGTATGATTATGGGAGTCATACACCAAACCTTTTCCAGGAAACTTTTTGATGTACTTCAATATACGGATGACTCGCATTCCAATGATCTTGACAAGGAGAATTGAGGAATTGACTCACCACACTGATCGCAAAGGAAATGTCGGGCGAGTAACTGTAAGATAATTTAATTTTCCAACTAATCTTCTATACCTGTTCAGGATCCGACATTGGCTCCCCCGATTTGGCAAGAGTTTGGTATTAGGATCCATGGGTGTGTCAACAGGCTTTGAATTCATCAACCCAGTTTCTTCCAAAATATCCAATGCATACTTTCTTTGAGATATAACAATGCCATCGGTAGATTGTGCTACCTCAATACCCAAGAAATATCTGAGTTTGCCAAGATCTTTGGTTTGAAAATGGTGGCAAAGGTGTTGTTTCATCTCGAGAGATGCCATGATGGTCACTACCTGTAAGAACAATGTCATCGACATACACTATCAAATAGATACATCCAAGCATTCGAGTGACGGTAAAAGACCGAGTGGTCTCGCCTCACTTCTAGTCATGCCAAATTGTTGAACAACGTCGCTAAATTTGCCAAACCAGGCCCTAGGAGACTGTTTTAGGCCATATAAAGATTTACGAAGACGACATACCAATCCGAAGACTCCCCTGAGCAACAAATCCGGAGGTTGCTCCATATAAATCTCTTCTTGCAAATCGTCATTCAAGAAAGCATTTTTGACATCCGAGTTGATAAAGAGGCCATTGTTGAATAGCAGCCATGGCAATGAATAAACGAACAGAAGCCATCTTTGCCACTGGAGAGAAAGTATCACCATAATCCAACCCAAAAATTTGGGTATAGCCTTTGGCTACAAGGCGAGCTTTGAGGCGATCAATAGTACCATCAGGACCAACCTTGATAGCGAAGACCCACCTGCAACCAACAACAGATTTTCCAGATGGTAATGGGACAAGCGTCCAGGTTCCACTAGTCTGAAGAGCACCGAGTTCATCTAGCATGGCCTGACGCCAACCAGGGTGGGCTAAGGCTTCAGAGACAGATTTAGGAATAGACATAGAAGAAATAGACGAGACATGTATAAAATGGTGAAGAAATTCGATGATAACTTAAAGCAGTATAATGTGGAGAAGGATTACGAGTAGAACGCGTACCTTTACGAAGGGCAATAGGAAGGTCAGACTCTGTGGACGGAACCGGAGGAGGCAGAGTATTTGGCACTGGGAGTGAGTCATGTGGCGTCTGTTGTGGGCGAGGTCTGCGACTATAAACCTGAAGGGGTGGTGGAGGAGGAGGGGCTAATGGTGGATGGTCCTCAACATAAGGATCAATGAGAACAGGAATGGGAACTGTAGCAGATGGAGACTCAGCAGGTAGGGAAGGGTCCTTAAAGTAAAAGGAAAACTCATTGAAGGTGACATCGGCAGACACAAAATAGCGATTAAGAGAAGGAGAAAAACACTTGTATCCTTTTTGGGATCGAGTAAATCCTAAGAAAACACATTTGTGTGATCGAGGAGATAACTTATCATGACCAGGATCAAAATTGTGGACAAAACAGGTAGACCCAAAAACCTTCAGAGGTAAAGGATGGAGAGTGTCATGAGGAAATAAAATAGAATGGGGAATTTTGTTATCTAAAACCGAAGAGGGCATACGATTAATAAGATAACAGGCAGTAAGAACAGCATCACCCCAAAAATGTTGAGGAACCGCACCATGAATTAAAAGAGTACGGGTTGTTTCAATAAGGTGTCTATTCTTGCGCTCAGCCACCCCATTTTGTTGAGGGGTATAAGCACAGGAAGTTTGATGAAGAATGTCATGAGAAGCCATAAATTGTTTAAACGAGTTTGAAAGATACTCACGGCCATTATCACTTCGAAAAGTTTGAATAGAGACACCAAATTGATTTTTAATTTCATGATAAAAGTTTTGGAATATAGAAAACTCAGAACGATTTTTCATTAAAAATAACCAAGTGCAACGAGAGAAATCATCAATAAAAGTAACAAAATATTGAAAACCTAAATTAGACTTAACACGACTGGGTCCCCAAATGTCAGAGTGAACTAAGGCAAAGGGGGATGAAGCACGCTGGGAAACACTACGAGAAAAGGAAGTACGACTATGTTTGCCTAACTGACAGGGACTCACACACCAAAGCTGGACAAGCTGGGATAAGCTGGGAACAAGTTGCCTGTAATTTGCGCAGATCTGGGGTGACCAAGCCGAGCATGAAGGAGAGAAGGAGACTCCATAAGCTGTGCCAACATGTGGAGAAGGTTGAAGATAATAAAGTCCATGTGACTCACATCCGGTGCCAATCACTCTTTGCGAGCTCCGGTCCTGTAAGGAAACAGAAGTTTTGGTAAAAGAGATAACACAATCAAGAGATCGAGTTAGACGGCTAATGGATAATAAGTTAAAGGGGGACCCGGGTACATACAAAACATTATCAATGGACAACGAGGGAAAAAGAGTAACCGTTCCAACACCATGAGCTAAAGTTGTAGACCCATTAGCCATTGTAACAGAGGGTAAATTATGAGAATGAGTGAAAGAGGAAAATAAGGATTTGTTACCAGTGATGTGATCGGTGGCGCCTGAGTCAAGAACCCAAGAGCCAATAGAAGAAGAGTGAGTCAGACCAGCAAAAGATATACCTGTGTGGGCAACAGAAGTAGTGGAA